TTTTATCATCGACCCAATCGCCTATATATTTGTTACCACTGGCAAAGAAATAGGTTCCTCGTCCGTGCATATTGTCATCCTTGAACTGACCCTCATATTTATCACCAGACCATTTCGTTTCAGGACCCCAGACATAGACACCTTGACCTGTCATTTCACCATCGGCCCAATCGCCTGTATATTTGTTACCATTGGTACAGTAATAGGTACCTCGTCCATGCCTTAGCTGGTTTTTGAATTCGCCCGGTAGTTTTTCGCTTATGACATAAACGAATGAATTATGCCGACGTAAGTGGTTTTATTGGTGTCACGAGATTTCTGAATATTTCTTCTCATACTTATCCCCATTTGAGTATACCTCGATGCGGTAGTGTGTTTCATTGTTGGAGTTTGCATGAGTTGTAGGTTCTGAAAACAGTCAGAGATATAGAAGGTTTATTGAAGTTGGTGTGGATGCGCATGTCCTTTTGCAGTGTTGATGGGTGAGCGTGTTCGAGTCGTTCCATTCTCGATTTACATCTACATCGACACCCACACTCTCAAATGAGCAAAACTCTTCCTCTGAGTTATCAGCTATTCAGTACAATTGAGCTGAAACCTTGACAATTTTTAGTGTTGCACAGAAAAAAGGGTCTTTTTACATGGTTTGCTGCAGAATATTGCCGGACGCAAGATGCGAATCTGGTGGAACTTGCAAACATACTTTATATTCCTAGGTCTTTATCTTTTCTGCTTAGTGAAGCGCATTATATCTCAGCTTTATTACAACGAAAGACGCAAGGAAATGCAAGGAGCTGGTACCTATGGAAATATTTTAACGATAGCTTATTGCGCGACAAACTTTACAAATTCAACAATAGAATTCTTAGGGAAAACTCTATATGTTAATGTTCAAAAAGGTTGGAGCTTGCTGTCATTTGTATCACAGAACTTTCAAAGAAATTTTTTTCAAAATATCTACGAATTCAATTGTTCTCATATTAATCGGGTTCTTTCTTCATTCAATGACATTGACACTTTCAGCTCTTTCAGAACTATAAAACAACGGAATTTAAAATTCACTTTTCTCGAAATGGACATGAAGAGAGAGACAGCAGTCACCTCACCAATTTTGGTTGGCCCCAGGAAAATGACGATATCGTTCGATCAGTGTTGGCTAACGGGCTTGACTTTGTGTAGGTGAAAAGAGGACAACTTTCCCTATCGAATAACCATGCTAAAGATCAAAATTAAAAGGAAAGGAACCATTTAGGAAACCATCATGAAATTTTGCAAAGAGTGTCATGTAACTGATCTATTGCTGAACAATGATATTTTGGCATATGCTTATATCCCTGAGTATCCTGATGCGAACAGTAAAAAAAGGCAGGTCTTTAGTTCTTTCTGTTCTTGAGTTCTTGAAAAGGCTTTTCAACGCAGTCTCTTTAAGGCTAAAATGCCGAACTTACAGATTCATGAACGTCAGAAACTATTTTGCTATAAAGTTTTTTTAGCGTTATTACTCTAGTTTTATAGATGCATGTTTGCAGTGCAACTTTAGATGAAGTAGAACGCTTATTAACCATAGCAACCATTTATTATATGGCGCCTATTCATAATAAGGAAGTGCCTATATTGGGAGTGTCTGTAAGGGGAGGGAGAAGAGTCACATAACTTCACCTTAAAACTTACACACTTTATTTTCCTGCCTAGTGTTTGAGTTCTACAAAATCATCACGCACACTGATATTTTGGATGGACTCCGGGTCTTGGTGAGGTCTATCAGTATTATGAATTTTGCAGGAAAATAATGAGTTCAAATTGTCATGTCTTCGTTATGTACCAGCTGAAAATAATCATCTTTGTCTATTTTGCGCTACTACATCTACGTACAAGAACGATATTGCTGACTCAACAATTTATGACAATTTTTAATCTACTACTCTAGATTCACCTATCCTCAAAATGTCAAAATATCTATTCGACGGTTCTCCAAAAATTCTGGAAAGTAAATGGAACGGTTCATCTGTCATTTGTTTAAAAGGGGATAAGTGCAAGCACGCAGCACCCTCGCATCTCAGCGCCTGTTTGGCACCTTCAGCACCTAGCCAGCATCTTCAACACTTGTGTGACAACTTTATCGCAATTCACTGAGTACCTTCGGCACATTCAACACTTTCAACCACTTTCCCGTTACCTTAAGTACTTTTTCAGTACCTTACGACAAAATGTAAAGGGCAGAGCCCAGGCACTAAATTTTATCGCAAGATGCTGAAAAATTACTTCAGATAGTGGGAAAGTGGTTGAAGGTGCTGAAAATGCCGAAAGTGCTCATTGTGAAATGCGATAACAATGTCGAACGGGTGCTGAAGGTGCAAAACAAGTGCTGAAGTGCTGAGCAGGTGCTGGATACCTGCACTTTCCCCATTGCTTGTTTCTTTCAAGATTGAGCTGTCATCGCCCAACGAAAAACACTAAGTCACGTTCATTTGTCTTTGCTTTCTCATCTTCTCTCTGGGTAGATACAACTAGTTATGCAGATGTGTTGTTAGTTGGTCAGTAGACTGAATTGTCTCTTTCTGTTCATGTTGCCTTCGACGTAATCGTGAGGAAATAAGGTGATAAATTCCCAAATCCTTCATAAGACAGAAGGCGCTCTTAATCCTTTCACGACTGGTTTAATTTTCTAAACAGAACATCCGAATACCTATATACATCAGCGGTCGTGAAACAGTGAATCGAACAAAAAGCAAGAAACAGCTCAATTGGCTGAGAGATTATTCGAGAACAATTGGATCATTTCCCATGTGTTGATCATTCCCTTTCTTTGCTCGGTCGAGAGTTGACGCACAAGCGCTTGCTTACATTCTTTTATAAACGTTATCATCCTCCTCCTCATAGTGTCTTATGAGGAAAGGAATTAACACTAATTAACACTAACACTAAACACTAATTACAAATTTAATAAAGAAAGCTCATCAAACAATCAACAGCTAAATAATAATACATATATTAATACTATGCCGAAGAGTAAACAACGAACGACAGCTGGATCTACAAACACAGTAACAGAATACAATTTGGAAGAAATGATCGAATATCTTCGACAGAATCCTAATGCAGCATATGATGTTCATAAACATCTTACTCAAGTTACACATCTTCAGCATCTTAATTTTAATGCTCCTATCGAATCGTCCACACCTCAAACACCAAAACGTAACCTAGATACAAGCGACAATGATGATATACAAGTATTGAAATAGCAGCGTGTATTATCAAACGAAAAACAAAAAAACACGAGTCGTATAAATTTATCAATAGCTACGAATGCAACTCATGTACCAGGCAAAAATCCAGTATTAGGTCAATTGCAACAACAACCTGCAGAACAACAACAATATCAACTACCATTTGAACAGTTGAAACGGGCCGTTTCAAGCAATCTGCCATGTTTTCTAATTGAATTTAACCCTAGTACGCCCAACATGGGTCATTTCTGACCCAGACATAAAAATTTGGAAATACACTATAATATTTTGGTCATTTCGGGTTTAAGGTATCATTTATCATCTATTATGAATAGATAGCTGTTGCGTAGTCTAAAATGAAACTGATTTATCCTATTCCATCTCACTACAAGCCTTCAATACTATAAAATACAATTTCATCAATATTTAACATAAAACTAGACAAGAGAACAAGTTAAATTTTCAATTAAAATTCAAGACTCATGCACCATTTTAACTGTATATTTATCTCCAATTTACTTAGAAGTATTTATTGATTGGGTTTTGGACTATCCAATTAGGATGATATATGATTCATTCGATTAGATTTTGGATCGAAGATATTCATCTATCATCTAGTACCTCTTCATTTTTTTTATTTTCTAGATTAAGATTTCTTTTTTGTATTATAAAAAACGATCATGAACAATTGGATTGAAGAGGAAAGCGAATCTGACGATTTTAACGACGAACAAAGTGGTTCAGAAACAGAAAATGATGAAAGTCAAACATCAGACGCTGATGATGAAATTGATTTAGAAGATCTTAAATTAACCGAAGATTCTACACGAAAAAGCTCATATACTTCCAAGTCCGGGATGATCTGGTCTTCAATTCCGTCTACTTCATCAAAAATAAAATCTTTCAGTGATAATATCGAGAAATCTGGACCAACCAAGCCTACTGAAAATGTTGCATCTATTGAAGACGCATTCATTTGTCTTATGTCGGAAAAAAATCATGCAGAAAATTTTGATTTATTCAAATATGGAATATGATCGAAACACCGGATTAGATGAAAAAGAAGAAATAACAATGATGGAATTGAAAGCTTCCATTGGACTATTATTGCTTGCTGGTTTATTAGGAAGATCAAAAGGAAATTTACGATCCTTATGGAGAACAAGTCCTTTGGAATCTCCAATATTCAAAGCTACTATTTCAAAAAGCCGTTTTGACAAAATTATGTCGTGTCTAAGATTTGATGATAAAAGAACAAGAGAAGAGAGAAAACAAGCAGATAAATTTGCAGCAATTCGTGAAATTTGGTCAGATTTTCAAGATAAATTAAAAACATGTTATACACCAGGACTTGATCTTACCATCGACGAACAATTATTAGGATATCGAGAAAAATGTCCATTTCGTCAATTTATCCTTAAGAAGCCTGACAAATACGGATTAAAGTTCTGGCTATGTGTTGATGCAGAGTCGTATTATGTATTGAATGCATTTCCTTACATTGGACGACAACCAGGTCAAGAAAAACAACAACACATAGGTGAAAGTGTAGTTTTAGAATTGCTCAAGCCATTTTATGATTCAAACAGAAACGTTGCAATAGATAATTTCTTTACAAGTGTTCCGTTGGCGAAAAATCTTCAAACGAAGAATCTTACTCTTATAGGAACATTACGAAAAAATAAATCAGAAATACCTATGGAGTTTCTACCAAATAAGACTCATGAAGTTGGTTCTTTGCTTTTTGGTTTTGAAGATAATTTAACTTTAGTTTCCTTCGTACCAAAAAAAAATAAAGCTGTCTTATTACTTTCTTCGAAACATCATGATAATCAGGTGGACAATAAGACTGGAAAACCAATTGTTGTTTTGAATTATAATAAAACCAAGGGAGCTGTTGATACTGTTGATCAAATATGCCACAAATATACAGTAAAAAATATTTTTATTTTTTATCTTTTCATTTTGTCATCTGTAGGTAAAAAGAGGTACAAAGCGGTGGCCGCTTTGTATTTTCTACGGTATGATAGATGTGACGGCTTTAAATGCTTTTATCTTATGGAAGGCGAAAAATCCAGAATGGAATCGAGATAAGAGATATCAACGACGATTATTTTTAGAAGAACTCGGACTTAGTCTAGTAACACCGCTGTTGGATTTTCGTTCAAAAACCTCAAAATTTCTACATAAAGATATTCAAAATGCTTTAGCTATTGTTGGTCATCCTGTAGCGAAAAGAAATTCACAAAAATCAAATGAAGATTCTGCACAAGGAAAACGAAAACGGTGTTCAATGCGTGAAACATCTAAAGACAGAAAAACTTCAATTAAATGTTATAATTGTTCTGCATGTGTTTGTAACGAACATTGTATAAAGCAGATTTTTTGTATTAATTGTTCGAAATAAAGAACTAATATACTCTCAGTGTTTTTTTCTATCAGATTGAATATAACACTAGCATCCTTTTGTCAGGATATTGCCCTTAGAATAGAGAAAATAATTTTATAGAAGCGTATATTGCTACTGTAGTGCGTAAAAAAGCACGGGCGTACTAGGGTTAATCAAGATGTAAACTTGAAGAAAAGACCCTCTGATCTTGCAGCAGCTGGTATAATTGAAGATCACTTCAAACAACAAGGAATGTTTATCAAGTTTTCTCTCGTCGATCATGTCGGTAATAAATTAAAATTGAGAGTAAACGACAAGGAAACATATGCAACGTTAATATCTACTGAAAAATGGCCAACACAAGTCAACAACATCAATATCACGGTAATTAAGCCGAAATTTATTCCCGACTCCTTTGCTCTTGTTGTTCGCTATGTACTCCTTCAATACAATGATGAGGATATTAAAGAAGAAATAGAACAAAATATTCAATCAGCCGAGAATGTGAGACGCACTCAGTATCGCTTCCAATGGAGAACAAACGATTTTCGATTCGTAGTAAAAGATTTAAGTGAATACAATGCAGCCTTAAAACTAGGTTGTATATCAATTGGAAAAACATTTTGCTCAATTACATCATTTCTGTCGGGTAATCGAATGACTTATTGCACTCGATGTTGGTGTTTAGGTCATATGAGAAATAAATGTAAAGTAGAACATCCACGCTGTCGTATCTGTCTTAACAGTATAAATGATCATCAAACACATGTCTGCTCGAATATCGCTCGTTGTCCACAATGTAACGGTAATCATCATTCATTATCTAGTGTATGTGAAAAAGTGCTTCAATATCGTTCTCAACTAAAAGAACAAGTTAACAATGATTTATCAACAGACAAACTGCATCGATTAATACCACAAGAGCACTCCCAACCGACACAATTTCAATTGAATAAAAATGAATTTCTACCATTACCAGCTCAAATACAGGGGAGTACTCCTTGGAAACTAACCACAGCACAACCACTAATAACAGCCAATATGAAAGAGAATGAAGATACAACAAGAATGTTATTAACAATAAATCAAAATGTTTTAGATATGAAGGAGTAGAATCATCGTATAAACGAAAAATTAGATCGAATGAATGAACGTGTCAATCAAGCAGCTCTTGATATAGAACTACACCAAGAAACATTAGTAAAACAGCAACCTTTACTCGTATCGATCGTTGCAAATTTTCTTTGGCCGATGACAGATTATAATGTGGCAGGTTTGAAACAAAAACAATCGCTATTGCAAAAAGTACTCACTAGCTTGGAAACATCATTATCTTATTTAAAATCAGACTACACAGCCCGCCGAAAACGCAGTACATCTCCACTTTCATGTCTCTCTTCATCGCAAGTACCAGCAAAAGCATCCAACAAAGGTTCGAATAATGAAACTATTCAGAATATGAGTAGTTAGATGAGTACTAGTTTTTCAAATCTGAGACTAGAAGCCAAACCATTCCTTCCATCTATAACAGCTAATCCTAAAGAGACAGCAATGAATCAGTTTTGTCAATGGGGGTTCAAGACAAACGACCAGAAACTGATAGACGAAGTTCTCTCAGAGTGGTTTACAGGGTGGGTGTGGGTGTGGGTGTGGGTGTGGGTGTGGGTGCGGGTGTGGGTATGGGTGCGGTGTGGATGTGGATGTGGGTATGGGTAGGTGTGGGTGTGGGTGTGGCGGTGAGGCTGGGGTGCGTCTGGGTGTGAATTGAATGCAGGTCTACACCCACACCCACACCCCCATTCACACCCACACCCACATTCACACCCACACCCACATTCACGCCCACACCCACACCCACATTCACACCCACACCCACACCCACACCCACACCCACCCTCATCAACACGAAACAAATAAAAGTGCAGGAGTTTGCGTTGCGATAGGGAAACATTTAAAAGGAACACGTGTAAGTTTTGGCGTTGAAAACACAGTTATTGTTGATGTTAGTGGCCTCTCTGAAAAGATTAGAATCATTGCTATTTATTGGCCAGCATGTCAAAACAGAGTGTTAGAAGAATTAGAACCTTTTATTATTGAAAATACAATCCTCACTGGCGATTTCAATGCAGCCATTAAAGAATGGTGAAGTGCATCATCTGATAAAAGAGGTAAACTTATAAAAGAATGGATAGAGAAGAATAATCTTTGTTACGTTCCAACAGCATCGCACTCATCAAAGCGTTCGAATAGAAACATTGATTTAACATTTACAAACATAGGAGAAGCGAGATGTGAAATTCTAAAGACGGGTACGAGCGATCACTGGCCACTAATGATATCATGCGAGAATGTTGGATTTGATAGGAATAGAATGTTTTCGTATGTGAACTGGAATGTATTCGAAGCTATTCTCACGCTTTTACAAGCGTTTTAGATAAAGGAACAGAAGCGAGGAATGACAGCTGATGAGTGGTATATGAATTACGTGCGTTTTCTTGTTGCTTTAAAAAACAGACTCACAAAATGGAAAGAAAAAGAAAAATTTCGATCAACACTGCCTTCTTATCTTATTCAGAAGCTTAAAGAAGTGAAAAGAGTAAGGAATAAATATTACCACAAGAAATGCATATATTACACGAACGAGGAGACGAGAGTGTTGCTGCGGGTACTAACAAGGGAAATTAAAATTGAAATTTGCAAAATACAAATCGAATAAGTGGCAAGAGTTTCTATCTAAAATTCAAGAAACTCATGACAAAACTGATAAAGTATTCTGGTCATATGTATCTAGAGTGTATAAGCCAAAGTCTTTACCCTTTACAAAATTAGATATCGGTACGAAAGTGTTGTCAGAAGAAAAAGAAATCAATGAAGCACTATACAAATATTACTCCGAACAATTCAAAATACAAAATATGAATTTGTCGGATCCACACGAATCACAAATAGAAACAGAATATCTGGAACTGATGAAGAGAATTACGATGTCTAATGAAAACGAAATTGAATAGACGAGTGCGTTTGAAATAAAAAAATATATCTCGAAGTTAAAACCAAAAATGTCATTAGGATTCGATGTAATCTCTAACTTCATGATCAAGCGAATTCCACTCGGGTATATAAGTTGTTTAGCACAGTGCTTTAATACATGGCTACATGAGTGCAGATATTCAGATGTTTGGAAGTTAGCTAAGATAATTACAATGAATAAACTTAAAGCAGGAGTACCGCGTTGTAAACAAACAAGACCAATTTCACTTCTTGAAACATATTCCAAACTATTCGAAAAAATTATGTTACAGAGAGTAAGACACTGGGGAGAAACAAATAGTTTAGTTCCAGTTGAACAGTCAGGCTTCCGTCCAGGTTGTTTACTCTCAACGAGAGTCCTATCCATATACCAAGAGGTGAAAAATAATATGACAGCAAACATTCCAACATTAGCAGTATATGTAGACTACCAAAAAGCATATGATAAAGTATGGCATAAAGGTCTCGTTGTTAAGCTCAACAGGCTAGGTATACCTTTAGGACTATTGAAAATAATTTTCTCATGGCTAAATGATCGTCGTGCTTATGTTTTATTTGAAGAGAGTAAGTCAAAGATATTTCAGTCTAGTGTTGGCTTGCCACAAGGTAGTAGTTTGAGTCCATACTTATTCATAGTCTACCATTCTGATCTTGTCACCTGCTTGGGTGCTCACTCTAGCCACATATTTGCTGATGACCTTAGTATACTTATATCTTCACCAATCTGCCGTGAATTTAAGCCGATGTTAAAGTTTTTAGAAGAAGAAGGTACAAAAATATGTAACAAAATAGCGAATTACTCCGAGAAGTGGAAACAACCAATTAATTTATCTAAAACAGTAGTGCAAGTGTTTCACTCGCAAGTTGAAAACCCACTAGTAGAGGTCTATATGCAAGGGCAAAGACTAGAAGTAATTAAAGAATTCAAATATCTAGGATTTATTTGGGCAAATAAGATGTCTTTGAAACCAACGATTGACGAAACATGTGAAAACATTCTAAATACGTTCAGTAAATTAAAATGGATGAAAGGTGGTAGAACTTTATCGAAAGAAACTCTGCGTAAATGTTTCTTTGCTTATAGTTTTCCATATTTTGCCTGGATATTTCCTTTTTACCCCTTCCTACCTCAAACTCAAAAAGAATTACTACTAAGAAAATTCAGGAACGGATTAAGACTGGTTCATCGCTGTCCCTTTGCACGAGCGACAGAACTTCTCCAAATCACAAACGAAGAGTCCTTAGAAGAGTATGTAAAGAGATACATAAAGAAAAGATTAGAACGAATCGAAAAATCTGATTTAGGTCAATCTCCCTTTTACAATGACATATTTTATTGGGACGCATTTCAGAAGAGAAAAAACGATGGTATGGGACATTTCTTTCGCTTGAAACGGGTTAAACGTATACGTGAAAGGCACCAAGTTCTACTTCTTCAGTGGCTGGAATTTTTATGTTAACGGAACCAGCCATGTGAGCACTTAGGCTACCCACTCTCGATTTAATATTCTTCTGTATCATCTGCATTATTACTATCTATATAGTTCGGTCCTGTTTCTTATTTTTTTCCTTGCTTATTTTTCTTTGTCTTCTTCCTTTCCCTTCCTTCTCTCCTCCTTTTGCTACTTCTTTTTCTTCGCTCTCTTTCCCTCTCTTTTCTTCTCTTATCATCCTATCACAATTTGTCTGCCCAGCATGGCATATTATAAATCTATTGTATTTCATTTTATGCTAATATTATCCATGTTATTGTGAAACAAGACGCTGTAAAGTCGTATACCTCTACTTGTAAGCACTTCCGAGTGTAACAATAAACAATGCATATTCAAAAAAAAACAAAAAAAATTTTCCATGTGTTGATTTAACTCATTGTAATTGAAGCTACCTCACTATGCTTTAATTTTAATTGACAATACTCTCTAAAAAATAACAAGGTTCCTCATTGAACAAAGAAACGTTCTGTAGCTTTTACAGAATCTTTTTTAGCTCTAAGCATGGATACAAAATTACAGTCCTCTGTATAGCTCTTCAGAGAACTTTAAAATGTTCTGTAGGATCCACTGCATCTTTTTTTAGTTCTGCGCAGAGAGAAAAATGATTTGTTTTCTACCTGCACCAAAAACCTTTTATTTTCACAGAGTACCTGAAAGAATGCCTTTCCTTCATTGTTTATTCAATACATTACCTGCTTCGAAACTTGTATCACCACTACTCGAGTCATCACCATGGCTTGACTGATGATCGTTGTTGTTTGTTTTGTTATCCTTGCTCGTTTGATAATCATCGCTATTTGTTTTGTAATCATCATTCGTTTGATAATCCTCGCTATAAGTTTCGTTACCACTACTCGTTTGATAATCCTCGCTATAAGTTTCGTTATCACTACTCGTTTGATAATCGTTGTTTGACTCGTCGTCATTTTTACGGTCAGGCGCGTACATATTGACTGCTCGAAGTTTTTCCACCAATTTGTTCACGCTTATTTTGAAATGATCGATCGTCTCACGTGTGATTATCCCATTCACGAATGGCTGCATTGCCTGACTTTTGAGCATTTCATTGTAAATATTGTTCAATGGTGTGATTAATTTGTCTAGTTCGACTAACTCTTTCGTAACAGTTTCGAGACTGACAGAGGCTGAGTTTAGACCAGACAAGTGCGGCATGATTTGCTTAAATTCGGAATTAATATTCGATATGGTTATCCGCGCTTCTTTCAATTGAGTCACTGTGTTTTCAAGCGCTGCTAGTCTGACTCGTTGATTGGCTGCATGATTGTCCAGAGCGGTCTTTTGTTCTTGAAGTTTTTCGACTATGTTTTTATAATGTTCTACACGGTTGCGGGCTTCCTCGAGAGCAGCTTCAGTTACTTCTCGATCGTATCTTTCGGTATTGCAAAAAAACCAGCAGCGATTGTATGCGTTTTGGGCCCAGTTGTACATTCGTGTAGCTTGGGCAACTGACTGATGCTCTTGACTTTCTCCATTGGAAGCCAGCTCAAGCTGACGTTGGACACCGCAAATTTTTGTGGAAACTTCTTCCTTACATTTTTGTTGCTCACGGATAATCTCCTCACCGGCACT